CTGTTTAATTAGATCCCTTTCTCACGGTTGTGGACGTGGTCCCACATCACGTAGATTTTTTTGTTTTTGAACGAATTTACAATTGGGGTGGGGATTCTAATCTTAATGGTTGGATCGAAGATATATCTTTCATTTCAATTTATAGTTGTTAGATCGGGAGATTTAAGTGTTTATATCACATAAATTTAAAAAATGATTTAAAGATAATATTTTTATATTATCTTTTAATATAATATTATGTGTTATCTAAATGATAAATTTTTTTATTTATTTAAAAATTATAATATTAAATATATTTATTTATTTAATAATATATAAATTTTGTATAAAAATAATATAAAGTAATTATTTCTATATCAACATCTATCAATTATATAATATAAGAGTAACTCAATAATTAAAAATTTAATATATAATTTCTAAATCTAATTTTTGAATCAAATGACAAAGATTTAAAGAGAGAGAAAGATTTTTTTATGTAATTTATTATTATCAAATAAATAAAAAAATATATCGATTACACAATTCAAATGTTGAACATGTCATCTCTTGTATTTTTTAAATGCATCTTGTCAATCTAAAGTATTTTTGAAATTATAAAAATGGATAAAGATACCATAATCATTTAATTTTAAAAAATTTCAATTATAGACTCGCAGCATGGGTATTGCAGGGCAAATCATGCTTGCCAGTTGCCACCACTTCCACATGGTTATGCTACAATTTATTATTATAAGTAAAAAAAAATTATAAAATACAATATAGAGAATTATTGTACTTATTACTTCGAATTCATTGAATTTAAAACATTATTGATTTCAATTGGGTCTTCAAATTTAATGATTTATTCTCAAATTTTAAGTGTTTATACTAAATTGATCAGGGATTCAACTCCTAACAGGGATTTAAAAATTCTCCACTCCTCCATAATTTCTAATGTTTATAAAAAAAAAAAAAAAAGAAATTATTGATTAAGAGAAGATTTTTTATATCAAAAGCATTATTGATTGGAATTGGGTCTTCAAATCTAATAGATTATTCTCAAATTTTAAGTACTTAAGCTAAATTGATAAGGAGTTCGACTCCTAACAGGGATTTAAAAATTCTCCACTCCTCCATAATTTTTAATTTTATAAAAGAAAAAAGAAATTATTGATTGAGAGAAGATTTTTTATATCAAAAGAAATTAGCTAATAACTTATCCTCTATGTAATTCTTTATGTCTCATCTAATTTATCACATAATAATAGCTCTGGAGGATTTATAACTTATCTTTAGTTTAATTTTAGGATTCTCATTCTTAACTCAAGATATCTTTGAAAAAAAGTATATCTTTCAAAGATATCCTAAAATGAAATAATATCTAAAGAAATTGGTTAATAACTTATCCTCTATGTAATTCTTTATGCCTTATCTAATTTATCACACAATAATCACCTTGGAGGATTTATAACTTATCTTTAATTCAATTTTAGAACTCTCATCCCTAACTCAAAATATCTTTGAAAAAAAATATATCTTTTAAAAATATCCTAAAATGAAATAAAAACCAAAATATCTTTTAATTTTCCACAGCCAATTAGCAAACACTGAATAAAAGTGTAGATAAAAATACTAATTCTATTACTTTTTATTTAAAATTATGAAATTTTTTGTTTTTAAATCA